TATCCCTTATACCTGAACTAGGAGTATCCCTTATACCTGAACTAGGAGTATCCCTTATACCTGAACTAGGAGTATCCCTCAGTTATACCTGAACAAGCAAGACAGACAGATAGCATGACCCATTTGGTTGGTGTCTTGAAAAAACGGACCTCAAAAAAACACAGACTTACATAAGTTGCCTTTTGCAAACCAGAATGGGTCGCGTTTTTCCGTCTTAATTTTCTGTATCAGAAAATGCCAAAATGACCCAATAGTAACCAGAGTGCTATTTAGTGCTTTCAAGAGAGCATAAATGAAAGGCTCTATATAGGCTATATATCTACGAGCTATCTACGATGTGGGGAATGAGTAGGGTCTGGATACGAGAAGCCCTTCCTTTCTTAAGCAATCTCGTAGCCAGAGTCCTCCTGCGCCTTCCTGCCTTGTCGTCAGCAGCGCCTCTCAAGAGATTTGAATCTTAGATGTGGGTGCCCTGTGGTAAGTAACTACAAAAGCAAATACCGGGCCTCCTGTGGAATGGAAAACAAAATGGCGGACGATGGACAGTAAAACAGAACAAGAAACTTCTTCGTGCATTAACGGCACGAATCAACGCAAAAGAAAGCAAAATACTACAGAATATAACCCGAAGAGAACATGTGAGGAAGGTTATTCATGGTGGATGTCAATGATGTTGGGAATTTCACCGAAAGAAACGCAATCTTTCTCGCGAGTCAACTCTCGTTCTGTAAAGTACTAGACTTTATATAAACCTTTTTAATCTAAATTTTAAAGAAATTATTCTCTACTCTACTACTCAGTTCACAGAAAAATAATTAACTTTTGATAGCTTAGCATATAGCTGTTCTTCTAAAGATTATTATTTGATCTTTTTATTATTATTTAACGTTTTCTTTAACAAAAACATTTTCTAATTATCCAACGTGAAACTAATTACACTGTAAGTTTGTAGCAATTTTAAACTTCAAATTAAGCTTTATGCTAGTCTTTTTATCATTTTTCTCATACTCTAGCATACGTATGTACAGTTTTGAACAGTTTTTTTCGTTGTATAGTGTTTTCTATATACTTATATACCAGAAAATGAAAAAGACTTTGTAAAAATGCATTTGTAAATTTACATTCGAGGTTAAATTTTTATAAATAATCACCAAAATAGTCCAGTTTGTCATAATGCTTTTGGTTTGAGGCATTTTGCATGTTCAAAAGTTTATACTGATAACTTGTAGATATACATTAGCATATGTAAATTAGACAATATTGTGTACATGTCATGGAGATGTGGTCAAATGAAAGCGAGGATAAGTGCTCAAAAGCAGTGTTTTCTCTACCATTGAAACCAGAAGAGCCTCTTCCTAGTGACTGTTGTGGTTCAGGTTGTACACCATGTGTTTTTGATATCTACGAAGAAGATGTACGAAAGTGGGAACGAAAATGCAAAGAAATCACAAGTGGTGCAGCTTCGTATTCATCTGATTCATGTGAAATAATCAGTCGTTCAGAGTTCAAGGAGTTTGAGTTGGAGTCAATGAAGAAGGTTGCTGAAAAGTGTTGGGTTTATAGGTTTATGATCCCAGGAGGAAAAAGACTGGGGTTGAACGTTGGAGAACATCTTATTCTAAGGTACATGTAACATTAATGCACTTTCAATAGAGCTGATGCAATTAAACTGTGAAATAAAATCAAGCTAAATGATAACTAACAGTATCTATTTAGTGACTAACAGTTGCTATTACTCAACCAGAACATCGATTATTATTAAACAAAAGACACAAATGGTCTCTTGTGTATTTGTCTTTGTTTAATAAATGTTCTGGATGAGTGATAGCAACTATTAGTCACTAAATAGATACAGTACTATTAGTTAGTATTTAGTTTGATTTTATTTCACGGTTTAATTGCATCCGCTCTACTGTATTTCTTTATTTATGAGTAATAATGTTTTATGTATGATGAATGTTCTGGTTGAGTGATAGCAACTATTACTCACTAAATAGTGCTATTTGTAGGTGTCAATTTTGTTTTTACTTCATGGTTTTACTGCATGCACTCTATGCTGCATTCAGTATNATAATAATAAAATAATAATAATATTTATTTAGATACACAATTAGATATTAATATGACAGGTCTGCTGATGTGGTCATGTATCATTGATTATGGTTGAAATGATATACATTATACATGTTACAGTTATTCTTAATTCTCATGATTTATATAAAGCCCTTTCTGTATATGTATATCATGATAATCAAAGGTGCTTACCATTATGAGAATTGAATATTATGAGGTGTAGACACTGAGGGTGGTAARAGCCAGGGTTTCTTTACGTCCTCAGTGGTACTCTTAGGCCCACTGGATGCAGGGTGAGATAACGTGGAGTCAAGAAAGCCATTTAATGTGGTCATCCACACTGATGTAGTTATAACAAGGGCAGCACTTTCTCATTAAGAAAGAGAGTGTTAGTGCTCCTGGGGATTGAACACATGACCTCCCACACAGCATCGTGATGCTAAACCAGCTGCATGAACGCAACATGTTTGACAGTGTTCATGATTAGGATTTAATCTTTGAATGTAGGAGCGATATGGACGATCCACCAATCACAAGGCAGTACACTCCCATCTCACCTTTAGATGCCTGTGGTTACTTTGATGTTCTTATCAAGGTATTTTTAATCATTTCATCTCATTATGATTATCATGTTTCATTATCAACATCATCACACTTTAACTGTCATCATCATCATCATCATCAATATCATAGTCATCAGCAACAAGAAAATCATCAATATTATCATCATCATCATCATCTATACCCCTGCAACCATCATCATCATCATCAACAACAACACTGTCATAAATATTATAAGCAACATCAGCATGCATCATCATCATCCTCATTTACATCTTCGTTACCATGATCAACATAATTAACATCAACATCATCATCACCATTGTTAATGACCAATCCATCAAAATCACCATCAGCATTGATCATTGTCAACAATTACATGATCAACATTCTAATAGTATTCAATGTCATCTGATCATCGAGACACCATCAAAATCATCATTAACATCAATATAGCAACAATAATATCACCATCCTTATCAACATATTCAGTGTCATCATCGTCACAAAACAGATATCTAAATATCATCATCATCATTTGAGACACCTGAAATTGTCCAAAAGGACCATGTTAATATCAGCAAGCTCCATTTTAGTTTTTGATCTTCTTTGTACCTTACTCTTAGATTTATGAAGATGGTAAGATGTCCAAGTATGTGGAGACATGGCAGGTTGGAGACAAGGTCAAATGGAAAGGACCTTTTGGAAAGTTTATATATACGCCAAACAGGGTACGTTCTTATCACTGTCATTGTCATTATATTTATCATCAATGGCCCTCGAATATGTCATGGGTGATTACCATATCACCATAGAGATGATTGTACTGTACTGATTATCATCATCATCATATTATCGCCATAGATCATTATCTTCATTATTGGTATCACTTTCAACATTATCGCACATCATCATTATCATCATCATCATCAATCAGCATCAACATCATCAAAGTCATCACCCAGCATCAACACTATCGTCATTACCATAAATCATTGTCTTCATTGTCAGCCTCACAATCATCATCATCTGACATCATCATCGTCATCAAGGTCATTATCAACATCATTATCGACATCATAGATCATTATCACCACCACCACCACCATCATCATCATCATAGATTACTATCCTCATTATCGGCATAGCAATCATCATCATCTGACATCATCATCAAGGACATCATCAACACCAACTTTATCATCATCATATCGTCATCAACCAGCACAGCACCAGCGCTAACCTAACCTAACCATTGCACCCAGTAYTGGTATTAGTGCTAACCTAATGCATTATATATTGTTGCACACACAGTACCATCATATCTGCATGCTGGCAGCAGGAACTGGTATTGCACCCATGATCCAAGTCCTTCAGTCCATACTTGATAATGATGATGATGAAACAAGAATCAGCCTGTTATACACATGTCGTACGTATCAAGAGATCCTGATGAAGGATGTACTGGATGTCAGTACTGATCACTGGAATTTTAACGTTATGTATGTCATCAGTAGGGTAAGTCTGATAATGAACCATTATGCTAATATACAGTCAATTCAAAACATGTTGTCGTCGACCAACTCGAGCCTACGTGACTGGACCGAAAGGAACTCTAGTTAGCAATCATTGAAGCCGAGTTGACTCCATAATTTTATCTGACTAGTTATGCCTGGTTTACAGCACGAACCTTCGTAGGCGAGCGGGAAGTGTTGAAGGAGACGTTTTTTTAATGCCTTCATATTTTCGAAATTGTGAACTGCATCATAACTACTCTGTTTTTCTTTCCCTAAACCCGAAGACATACATTTAATGGATTGTTTCTCGCCATCATTATCTTATTAATAGCGGGAACAATTAATTCAGGACGAATATTTAACCGCCTCAGTGATTTTTACCCATATTCTTTTCGGTCCAGTCGCGTAGGCTTGAGCCGGTCGACGACAACGTTTATTGAATTGACTGTATGTTTTTTAAGTGCTTATCAAGCCTACATGATCTCTCCCTGATTTCAAAGCCCTTATAAAATAAATGAGAATGGCCYCTACTTTCTTCTTGATATCTCTTTCCGTTGTAGTCCGAGATATTCAATATAGACATCACGAAATGATGACGTCAACCCAGGATCCTCATTAAAAAAAGGGACATCATCAAATAGAGAACATCTCTGTGAGAATTAGCTCAAAATGACTGAAATGCTTCGTGGACATGTGCACTATAACCCCCAAACGTTTCAGTCATTTTAAGCTCATTTTGTTTTATTTTTTTATCGTTTTGTTTTATTTATTCGTCGTTGGGTTCCTTCGTTACCCTTGACGAGCTCTTCTTTCTTATAATCTCAGGAAGACAAACCAGGCAACGAGACCCGAGTTCGTTATGGAGATAGAATCCATTACGGGCGTATCGACAAAGATCTTCTATCCCACGAGATTCCCGCTCCAAGCAATAAAGTCTTTGTATTGATCTGCGGGACCAAATCTTTTGACAAAGACATGATCAATTTTCTTAGTCAGCTTGGGTACGATGGATCAACGTACTTTAGATTCTAAGAAATGAAGGGACTAGTACCCAGATAAGAGCCGAGGAGTCTACAGGTAGCCCAAGCTAAGAATGCAATTGTATATATATTATCTTAAGATGTTAAGCTAAGTTGTCGATGGACCAAATCCAATAGACCTCCGCGGCTTGGGGTAATGATTTCCCATTTCAGACCACGTGTCATTCCCTTGAGAATAAGATTCTTTGTTTGAGCTGTATCCATATTCATGTGTCTTCTCGTGTGCAACCGAGCGCAAACCTTAAACAAAGAAATGATACTCTAGGGAATGACATGTGGTCTGAAATGGGAAAACATTATGTCAGAGCCGAGGAGGTCTATTGTGCATGAGAGCATTCAGAGCACGTTTCATTCCCTTGAGAAGAATATTCTTTTTCGAGTTGTATTTTCATGTGTATTTTCGTGCGCAACCGTTAAACAAAAAAATGATACTTGAACTCAAATTACCTTAAAACGCCACCAAATTCTCATCAAATTGATGAGCCACGAGCTTCCAAGAAAGCCAAATGACAAAAAAAACATGGTGGCCATGTTGGTGGTATTAACGATGGAAGCTAATGAGAAATGTTTTGTGAAATACCACCAACATGGCCGCGATGACGTAACATGCTATCGAAGAATAATACGAATGCACATATGTCTTGGAATGAGAGCAAAATTATTGAAGTGCTCCCAGATACCTTTAGATAACTTTTATTTATTAGGCACGAGAGTTTTATGCCTGACTTCACAATACGTCCATTACATACATTGATGGGCTCCTTATTCCCGTACCAGACACAGTAACATAATTCAAAAGAACGAAGCTAACAAAGAATACAATAGGTTTGCGTTACATGCAGAAGGACCCCATGTTAAAATATATGAACATTTAAGTCTCGTTAGGAGATATCCCTCGTGCCTCTGCTATATTAGACTATAAAAAATTGCTGGCTTACATATCTTGATATACTTTACTTTATTATTTAGTACCTCTATTTGATAATATTTACGAGTTATGAATACATGGACTAACAAAAACATTAGGTACAAGGCTGATATCATATGACAAACATACGCTTTTTCAAAATCGTCAAGACATATATAAAATATAATAGCAATATTCCACTTTACAGTTCCATTCAGTGACCACGAATAATAGTTCCAAGCCGAGGTTGGAGTAGCCTCCTTCGCAGCCGTTCTTAGAGTCGTGGGGAGGGAAACGTTGCGTGACGACCCTAAGAACGGCTGCGAAGGAGGCTAAGGTTGGAGTTTCCTCGCACAGCAAAACTATAATCTTTATCATGTAAAGCAACGCCACCCACTGCTTGGAGCTATTATTTGTGGTCACTGAATGGAACTGTAAAATGGAGTATTCAACACGACCGCTTGTTTTAATATACTATGATATAAAGATTTAGAGCACGCGAAGAACAAGAAAAACATCGAGTTGCAACTCGTGTTCCTAAGCTTACTGGTTCTCTAGTGGTCTACAGATTCCTACGTTAAAGTTCCTAATGCAGACTTTCCTATAATATTTTGTACAGTTTCTACATTATTTTTATGTCCGAATCCATGTATATCCCTTAGAGATTTCCAAAAATAAACAATAGTTAACCTCCATTTAGTTCCAAAGTATCAACAGCGTTTACACAAATCTCAACCAAGTCTTCCCAGTAGTTTATCTATGTACAGTGTCCTTCATTTTGGTAAATATTCCAAGGTGTTTTTAATAGTACAAATATCCATATTTATCTTGAAATCCTGGTCTGTATTTTCGTGCAAAAGGCGGTTTTGGTCTCTCGTTTCTTTTAATCCACTTCACGATTGATTTGGCTACAAGGATAATGTTCGTAGCTGCAAAACATGTTGTTCCTCCGATTATCAACGCCAGCTCTAGGAAAAGAACCATCTTATACTCAATACTATGGACTACTTCAGTTTGAAATTTAGTGTTAACTGACAAATTCTGTTATTTTTATGAAGTGCGTTTTCAAAGGTCGAACTTCAAAGATCAAAATATACCAATCGCTGTTTTTTTCTTCGCTTAATTCGTGTCTGAAACCAAATGCTTGTCAGCTGACCTCTAGTAGCTATGGTTTCTCGAACTGTCGATTCCCAGATGTGCTAAYACTTTATAACCAAGTTTACATTTCCTGTGTCAGATGGCCTTGAACGTTTTCGAGCGCTTTTTTTTTTATTAATTTTTTTACTTTAGTTTTCTTTGCTTTCGTTCTTCATTTATTTCCTTTTTTTAACTTTCCTTTCTCGGCTCTTTATTTTTCTTGTTTTCTAATTGTAGCTATAAACAGGCAGAAAAACCTAAGAAAATGAAAAGAAATCGAAATGTGCAAAATCTAGTTTCCTTGTGTGCTTTTACGTCGGATATTCCCTACTTTTCTTAATTATAAAAACATAGCTTGCGTGTAGCCGAACTAACCGTATTTCAAAAACCAAATAGATCATGTTGAAAAAATATCAACAATAAAAACAGCTTTTGGCAAAAGACGGTAAAAATTGGCGGTAAAAACGATTGATATAAATCCTGTATTACTTATGCAAAGTGCAAAGTTATCCGGCCTCCTTTTGTTTGTCGCAAGATCTTTATTGCATCGTACGTCATCTCTTCTACAGATGTCGTTATTCAGCGGGATGATTATAACAAGACCAAAGCATTGCTAAACCAAAATGACCTTGAAAATGCCGAAAATAAACTTTGAAGTGATTTTAATAGTTCAGTCAAAACAAAAAAAACAATACCAACTATTAATGGCTCTGACTCAGTCAATAGCGAACCAATAACTGTTGCAGAAGTTTTCCCAGTGAAATTAAAATCTTGTCCCACAAACAACTACACATTGCTATCTGTTTTAAAGAGAACTATAAGGATTACGGGGCACGTTTCTCCTGTTTTCACAGGACAGTAAACAATAGAAACAATTTATAATCTTTTTTTTTTTGCAATCAGAGTTTTAAATTATGGTAATATTCTAAATAATAAAGGGGAGTCGGTACGTCATCGAAGTCCGTAAGTCCGTAACACCACAGGAAGCCCATTGGTGCCCAATCCATAACTTCGAACCAATTCCGCATTCCGGACCTGAAAGTCCAATTTTCTAGCCAATATAAAGACGTTTTACAGTCGTTTTACAGTAATCTGGTCTTGAACATCAACTTATAATTCTGTGCGCCTGGGATCCCTGTGTTTTTAAACTTTTTGGGTTTCCTACTGGGCTCCCTTTGTCCAAGGCCAGGCCGCAAAACTAAATCCAAGATGGCAACGAAGAGATGGCGTTTCTTTATAATGTCTGCAAGTTTTGGTTCATATTTTCGACATTTTAAAGCTTTAAATGGCGGGAAAATCACCAAAAAGAAATCTATGTTCACTTTTAAATAAGGTAAGCTTACCAAATATGGATGAAAAGAGAGTTTTTTTGGGGTAAAGTTTAAGTTAATTTAGTTAAATCTCACAACGTCTTTCACAATCTCTCACACCTGTACAGTCTCATAAGAGGTTTTGTTCAAATACTATTAAAGTACGTCTTCCGCTCTCAATTGATGTCCGTTCTTTTAGTACTATTTATCCTCTGTCACTCTTAGATAGAGGAAGGGGGGAAAATAGTACAAATAGAGTAAGAGGCACTTAGAATGAGGATATCAATATTAAAAGCCTTGAAAATTATCTCAGAGCTCGTTCAAATCATAGTTAATAGTTCAAACTGATTATATTATGTGACTCAATTGATTCTTGACCGATAGTTACATTTTGCCCAGGTTCACCGTAGGGATGACACTGGTATCAGGGACGGGGGATTTGCTAAAGCAAGACAAATCGGATTAACATGACTCGCACAATTATTATATTATTATTGTTTCTAGTGTCCAATATTACAGTTCAATGAAGGTGAAAACAAACCACTCTTTGTTGTACTTGGAACAGCATTTTTCACTTGTATTCTTCTCACTTTAGTAAGCGCTGTGTGGTTAGATCCTGTGGGGGGAAATAATCACTTTAAAACTAGGAACAAAGTTTTCAATTACCATTTTTGCTCCACCCTTCCATGCCGAAATTTTTTTGGTGTGTGGAAAAAATAACCTCCATTTTTTCCCCCTTCACCTCTCTTAATCTAAATCACTGATCATGTTCTGACATCTTTATCATTTGAGGACGAACAATTTTGTCTCATTTCCTTCTTATTCATTATTCATTAGACTATCATCAACTTTATTTTAGCACAATCAATTTTGTTTTAGCTCCATCGACATGTTTTCCAAAGGGAAAACAATACTCAAGGGAATGCCTCGAGGTGATTCCTCGCTTTAAAATGCATGGCATTAGGCTTAAAGTAAAAAGTAGAGCGTATGAGAAAAAAGCCTTTTCACTTAATACTGTTCTAATATATTCTATACATCTATGTCTCTCACCTTGCGTTTGACTCTCATTACTGGTAGAGGGTACGGTACTGATAGGTAGAAAATGACCAAATAATTGGTAAAACCTTCTTCTGAACGGTCTATTAAATATGTAGAATATAACAGGATTGATTGCACTGCTTGACGAGGCAGCGTAGATCGTTATCATCTGTACTGAGCGAGGCAAACTAACATACAAGCTTATTTGATCAATACTTGCCGATGGAATCCAGCAAAATAAGGACCCACAAACCAACGCAAGCAGAGACTTTGTAACTTGAATTTCGTTCTTGCTAAAAGAGTTTCTGTTGGTCGGTCCTGTGTTAATATTCGTGGCCATCGTAGCGTTATGCACTTTAACACTTCTATAAACCTTCCAGTAACATATAACTGTCAATGACAGCGGTAAAACAACGAAAAGGAATTGGTTCAAAGCTGTAAAAAAGCGAGCTATGTATATGTCTTGACTGGAGGGAAAATAGATCATTCGTCCTGGATCAAACACGAACATTATTTTTCCATTGAGAGAGAGCAAAACGTTACCTAATATTGCAATCGCCCAGGCACCTGCAATCATGCAAATCGCTGGCTTTTTCTTGAAAAACTTCTTGTACAACTGAGGCTTAACGATGCAGAAAAATCTATTCTTGGCGATCAGTGAGGTCGTTAAAATCGAACCAAGTGCAAATGAGAGGCCTATGAATCCAATAACTTTCCCTTGGTCGCCGTACATATCACGACCTGTAGCTGCTGTTGCTATAAGTGGAGGCATTGTAATCACGGGAAAGGCAAAATCAGATACAGCGAGTGTTATCAAGTAATAGTTCGCAACGGTGCGAAGATCTGGTGATTTGTAAAACACGAACAAGACACAAGAGTTCCCTACAAGAGCTGCTACAGCGAAGACAATAAGAATACAAGTTTCTACGATGACCAAGCCAAGAGATCTGTTTTCCAGTTCATAGGCAAGCACCTTTGTGGCATTGGGATCGAACATAGCTATAAAGATCCTAGTAAGAGTAAAAGTACTAAGCGATTTCCTCAGAATAAAGAGAAACAAGAAGACCAAAAAGAGGTATCTGACTTGCTGCGCTACTAGCAATGGACAGCTGCCCACAAGAAGGCCGGATGCAAATGGCAGATGATAATTGAATAGAGAAATTGAGAAAGGAGACAGCTTTAGGTCACTTCTGTAATCAATCAAAACCAAAATACAACTGCATGCTCTAACATTAACATCACTAACAATAAAATGGAAAATTTATTTATATTTTTTATATATTCTTTGTAATGATTAAAATCTATTAAATTAACAGTGCTGTTTTTCAGTTGCTCAATAGTCCTACTTATTTTTCCCCTCGTAGAACTCTGATAGAAGTATTATTACTGGTAATCTAGCGCTTGGTAAACAAAAGGTGTTAAAAGGGTAATTGAAAATCCAATCAGATGCCAAATTGTGAAAGGGCCTCATGAATTAGATCACATCCAGTGAAAGGACCTCATGAATTAGATCACATCCAGTGAAAGGACCTC